AGCTAGATCTTATTTCAGTCCACAACCCCTATGACCTGTGCAAGTCTGATACTTCCATCTTACATTCCATGTGGCCTCCTGTTTGGACAGTGTATCTTTATAAATCACTGCTACTCTACACTGGCCACTACTTAATTGATACAATCTAACTGAAACAGTGATTAAAAAGGAACATGATACCATAGTTGGATCTATCAGAGCTTCAAATTTGAGTGACAAAAAAAAAATATCTGAATTCTTACAGTAGTACTTGCAAATTTCTAATTTTTACCAAGCAGTTATCACTTAGATAAAAGGTCTTGAGAATATATCCTGGCTGATGATAAATTCTGAACAATGTGAAATCATGCTGCAACATGATGAATGCTGTGGGAACCGATTAAGGCTCAGTTTCTTAGCAGAGAATGTTAAGCTGCAGTTGTATTTTTGTTTTGATATTCATGACAGCTGAAAAGAAGACAAGAAAAGCAAGCAAAAAAAATGCTAATTCTTCAGAATAAGCTGGATTCTTCATAGCATTCTGAACTTTGAATTAAAATAATGGAATGACTGGACTTAAAACACAACATTTTAATGAATTTTTGTGCTTTGATATTAATAATAATACTATGTATGAAGTATTCTGCACTATACAGATAGCTAGTTAACAGCTGTTCAAACAGAGAGAGAGTGATGAGAGGAACAATGATAAGGTGGGGAATGCAGTCAACCTAATCCATCTGAATCAGCTACTCCTAAGACAAAAAAACATTAAACTATTGTACCTGCTGCAAAATCTGCTAAGACAATCTATCAGAAAAAACTCCTGAAATTCTTTGCAAACTAAGTGGCATTACTACTTAAAGGGGTATAGGACTTCTTATGGAGTGCTTAAGTGGGTGAATCTGGGGACCAAACATGACAATTCTGGGATTGTACAAGATTTATTATAGGATATGGAAAAACATAAAAGTATAAAGTAGGAGGTTGCATTTAGGGGGGATGTTGTCAGTACACTTCAGCCAACCTTACATCTGGTCACCAGTGTCTGTCCTATCCTCTTCTTAAACTATTTTCAGCTGTTTTTGTGTGCAAGTGTGCTCTCCTTGTGAGGGAAGGAAACCCACTAGCAAGCTCCTAGCATTACCAGGCAGCAAGAGGATCAGAGGTCTGGAGCTGCATGCTGCAGACTGAGGGACTGGAATCAAGGCAGTAGACAGACAAAAAATATTCAGTGAGACTTGTGAAGGTTGCTTTCCTTGAGCAGTGAACCACTGAAACAGGATAGGGCTGTTTGTTGGTGCTGGCCGTGTTTATGCAGCTGCCTGTAAAGGTACTGTCGTCCTTTCTGATGTGTGGCTGGCTGTGTCTGTACACAGTATGTGCGTGTGCCCATTTCGGGATTCATACTCAGCCTCTATTTCTCAGATTTTATGTGGATATCATCTACTGTTGAATTAAGACTGATTTATAGGCTGGTCCTCAGAGTTCTTTAACTCAATGAAAACTGAGAGGACTTGACTTCCTCAGCTTTCTAAGAGCAGACTTTCTGCCTGGTACCAGTGAATGAAAACTGAACTCTTTGCCTTGATGCCTTGGATGTGAAGGAAGAACCCTGTGTCTCCTATTCACAGAAGGTTTTCTAGTAGCTTCATCAGCATGCAGTTTCCAAGAGTTCAAACCTCATATAGCTTGGGTGTCAAATCTACCTTTCTGGGGACCTAATTGTTGAAACAGAGAAATAGTAAGGGTTCCAAAGCAGAAAAAAAAATCATTCTACCTCTTTATTTAGTTCTTATGGAAACAAAAGGTGAGTTGCAACTTGTTGACCTGAAACATTTTTTCAATAGTGGTATTTGTCTGACGTTTGCCTGGGATGCTGTTCCACCTCCTAATAGCTGTAGTTCTGCGTCTCTTCTCTCTCCTTCTCTTCTGCTGGTATCCATTGCCATGAGAAGACAGTTACCTACAGACTGGGATGGACTTCAGTTCCATTATACACAGATGTATATTATCGCTGAGCTATAATCATGTACCACAAGAAAGGGAAACCACAGAATACATTTAAGATGCCACAGTGAGGAAACTAGGAGTATGAGCATCGAGAATTACAACCAACACAAAGATCCACCAGGATTCATAATCTTCATATCTTAATGTTGATAACAAATAAATCACTGTGGCCAGACAAGTTGAAACTGGTATTGTAAAGTTCAATGTCAGCATTGCTAACTGAAGTTATTAAAAACTCTTAACCTTAATTTTTTAATATACAGAAATTTTGCTTTCTTTTAAAGCAAAAGCTAACATTCACATATCAGAACTTCCACCTAGAAAGAAATCACATATTTCTATCAGCTTCATCAACTCAACATAATACACAGCAAAGCACGGCTCCACTGCATTTTGCATATACTGATTTGTTCATGTTTTAAGGAAGCAGATTTCTTTATTTTGCAATTACTGAGTGAATTCAGATCTGAGAAAGTGAAACACCTGTCTGTTGTTGTGTAATGCTCTCAGAACATCTTCACACTTCTATAAATTCTGCTCTACTTATTCTACCATCTGGCCTGTATTTTGAGTTCCTCCCCATCCCCATTAAATGTCTGCAACAAAGCAGTTGCTTTTGTTATTTTCTGCACTGGCAGCAAACATCTTGACAAGATAGCCTTTAATTAATAACCTAAGTAGAAACTTATTGCATCCTTAGTAGATGCAAACTTTCACTACGACTTTGATTTTCAATGGTGCCTATTTTCCTCTGTAAAAATACCTAAAATCAAATCTGTCTCAAGTGGTGTAGGCAGAATTTAATATCTTATAGTGAATGAAACAGAGGGAGGTATAAGTAACTAGCAAAAAACCATGATGATGGAGTTGGTAGTATAAAACTAAACCTAAATCTGAATATATTTTTCAGAGTTATAAGCAAATTTTTATTGAAGCCTTTATTGAATTTCTGAATACTAAATTTATAATTAACTAATGATAAATTACATTTATAAAATCAATAATGAGAAGTCACAAAAAAAGGAAAGTTAATTAAAAAATAATCAAGGCTAATTAAAATCTTGGTGTAATATGCACAAACATTAATTGGAATCACATTTAAGGAAAAAGATTATTCAACTGAAATGCATAATTAGAAATAATCAACACTTTCTGGTAAAACACAAATTCTGTTTTTATTTTTGTATGTATTTCAGATGTGATCTGAATAGAAGCTTCAGAAGCAAACCAGACTGTTACTGTATTATTAAGAGTTGCTTCAAATAGAACTGTACTACATATTTGACATTAAGAAAAGAACCAACCAACTATATTAACCAGTAACTGGTCATATGTCATTTCTTTCTATTGACACTAACAAAAAAACTAATGTAATTTACTGCCTATGGATACAATCGAATATCTATTGTAAAGCTCTGCCTTAATAATTTGTCCCTCTCCTACAGTAAATAAGGTTTTAAAATTGTAAATTATTTCTTCATAATAACTTTATATAAAAATAAGTAATCCAGATCTATACAATATTGTCAGCAGTTTGAAGAATGAAAAAGGAAGATTACTATCATGGTAATATAATGCAGCACTTTTGTCAATAGTTGACTGAAGAAATTTATGGAAATAAAAACTTTTTGAATATGCTTGATTGAAAGTCGTCTATTACTGCTAACAGTAATTTCATCCTGTTACACTGTGCAACATTATCTCCACTTGTATGGGAGGTGTACTACATACAGAAGCTTGAACTCTAATCTCAGGCTTCAATACAGAAAAATCCAAATAAGTAAGGAAAACTACATGCAGTTTGGTCACAACTAAATAAAGGTAGAAATCACAAACTGCAAGGTATACTTGATGATTATGAACACTGCTGACTCAGCCACAAATGACGCTTTTTAATAATAATGATTATAATAGTCAGTCAGAAGGAACTAAGTTCAAACCTTGTTAGATGACCAATATAATACCTAAACATATATCATCACTTGTTGCTATGTATATTTACACTTTATTGTTTATAATTTGAGCCTTTTTGTGAAGGAAAGAATAAGGAAAAATTAAGCATTAGCCAAAAGAAATTTTGCATAGCAAATATCTTATGAATACTTTGGAAACCATGATTTGAGAGTTTCTTCAGAAAAACTAATGCCTAGAAATCACATACACCTCAAATCTTCCTTCTGAATCTGACAGTCAACGCTAATGTTCACAGAAATCATCTTCATATCCCACTGGACAAGACTCTGCTAATCAAGGCCAAAACTAGTAGCTATTTCTTGCCTAGAGGTAATAGAAGATCTGTCCCTCCTAAACGAAACTTTCTGTCTGAAGGTTCTCAGTTTCCTCTCTATGTATATAGCATGATGAAATGTTTTCTTAAATACTAATTAACTTAGATAAATTACTTTTTTATCTGTCTGCCTATTATTTTAAAATAACTTTTCTGTTAATCAAAGTATAGATTTATCTTAACTATCTTAACTAAAAATTTTCTTTTTCACTGTCAGACTGTAGATTGACAGAGCTGCTGTCAGACTCTGCACCTTCTATTATAGCTCCTTGTAAACCTGGAGAATGCAGATGTTTTCCTTATTTGCTTCAAAGACTTGTGTCTTGTTAATTTCTATATTACCTCTACTAGAATTGCTTCACTTTATATGTGTCTCTACCAGATTAAAGACTGTGATTTGACATAGATGTAAAGATTCATCTGAGTAAATAAATGTCTTTTCCCCCACACTTTATCAGAAAGACTGATGACTAAAATCTAAGATGTAAATCTACTGTGAAGTAACTAACAACATTACTGTATTTAAAGTTACTGGCTTCAAACTGCTCACTCTGCTGTCTTCACATTTCTCATCTATCTTTACATTTTTACATGCTTTTTCACACATCTTCTAAAACTCTTTGGGACTTGAGTCTGGAAAGGCCTACTGTAGTGCGAATCACATAATATATTGTGTCACCGAACACCATCATACTGAGGTAAAATGACTCTTTAAAATTACCTGTATAGCAAGTGCTCGAGCTACAAGACTTCTAAGATATTGTAAAGGATCTTCAGGACCTTCCCACTTGCTCTGCCATGTGAGGGGACACTGAAATAAAAATATATTTACTGAAAGTATCTATTTCAAAACCGTCATCGTTACATTTTAAGCTAGCAATTTGAATGAAATTAAATAAGCCAGAGAGCAAATATCTCTACAAAGAAAAAAATGCAATACAAGTAATATAATGATCAAAGCATACAACCACTAATAGGAAGGTCATATTCCTGCTAATCCTTTATGTGGCCCACAGAGATACAGCACTGACAGAGAAGTTACAAGAGCCACTTTTATTCAGTAAGGAAACACCAGTATGTTCCACAAATATTCCAGAAAGGCCTCAGTTGATCCTTTCTCTGAAAGCCACAATGCTATCTTTTGAACTGAAGCCACAGATTCCCACTTTGCTGCTGTCTCCAGACTTGAACATGCAATTGTGTGGCTCTGTGGTGAAGTGAATCTGGTACAATTTGTCCACATGATTGCCTTCTCATCTTAAAGTGTTTGTAGAACAATATGTGAGAATAAAATCCTGCAAGAGCGCCTCATACAATTTTCTCACTAACTACAAAAAGAAAGGCTTAAATGATCCTTCTGTTAGATTTCTTCCCTTTAAAATAAGGATAAAAAAATTCATCGTACCTACTCCACAGGAAATTGTAAAGCACATTGAAATTGACCCTGCAAGTTTCTGCTACTTAAGTGAAAGAGAATTGATGTAAATCATTACCTGGGAAATACTGTACAATACTGGAGATGCTACACAGAATAAACAGTTTATAGTGTTTAACATTTACAGTTGCATTTTCAAGGAGGTTCACAATCTAATAGCATATGTGCTAAACAGATTTTTCAAAATCTGATCATTGATGTTCGTAAGAAAATGTATCTTTCAAAGTAAATACCCCAATGTACCTTTTACAGATAAAACCAGAAGATATCTGTGGACACTAATTAATAATTAACTGAATAAACTAGAATAAATACAAGACAAGTAATAAAGCCCAGCTAACTGCATGCTTTTTTGCGTAATTATGATTTTTCAAAAACTTTTTATATTTGAAAGTATTATCCTTGCATTTTTGCAGACTCTTTTGCTAGATATGCATTTACAGGCAGCTCACCAATCTATCATTTAGAAGGCATTCACCTAATGTCGCCAGTATAACACTCTAAATTGCTCTAAGTTTAAAGTAATAGCTTAGCTAATTGTTACTATGGAAGCATATTTCAGCTGTACACTAACATATCAATTTTGTGCCAACAAGGCACATTGCTGAAGCCATTAGAGGTCATACATTTATTGAGTTTCACATTTCTATTTGGAATCTAGCAGCTTCTCCAGGTGCTATAATCTACAAACTTGGTGATTTTAAAATGTAAGTTTTTAAAAATAGTTGTTTGTTATATAACACATGGCCACACTAAACTAAACAAGAACAGTGTACAGAAAATACATGAGACAAATCACTTAAGATTATAAATATGCTGAGGTTTAGCTGCCATGCGGTTTAGCTGCTGTGTGGTTTAGCTGTTATGCCAAGAGCATAGCATTAGCCTCTCTGGAAGCCTGCTGAAAAGATTGCTTTATGGTCACAATGCAATAAAGTCATCTGTGTCAAAGTAAGTAGGTAAGTAAGCAGATGAAATGCCAGAAACACTTTGTTCAATATATCAGGTAGCACTGAACTGATATTTGTAAGAGATAAAAATGTATAGAATATTTTAAGTACATTTTTGTGACTGATCAGCTTGATAGCTTCTGTTGCTTCCAATTTAAGAATGCAGCTTAAGCACACAAGCAAGCCATACTCCCTTGCGCAGTAACAAGAAATATAACTATAAATACTAAAAAATGGCCATTACATGTATCATTTGCATTCACTATGACTTGTACTTAGCACCAATTTCTACTACACAGTCAAAATACGATTAAAAAGGCAATGAGATTGCCAACACAAAAATGTTAATTTATTCTGCAATTTTGCTAACAAATGGTGTCTTGTGAATCTGAAAAGACAAAGAACTTAATTATTGTTTTAATTAGAAATTTTATAGATCCACAAATGGATAATAATATTTTTAACAGTACTTGTTGCTCACATGAAGCAAACAAGTGTTAATAGGAAATATCATTCATTGTAGGGCCAATCTCAGTAACTATGCATTAGCATCAACACAATTTATCAATTGCTTCAGGTGAAACAAAACCACAGAGTTTCATGTCAATGTTTGACTATCTTTGGAATCCAATTATCTAGCTATTAACGACAGAGCATGTAAATTTGCTGGCACTAATTGTATCAGTTTATAAATATGCTCCCTTTGATGCCAGAAAACATGTAGAAAGTATATGTACACATTTTGGTTGCATTTCTCATATATCAAGAATAAAGCTTAAGATGATAGGTTGATATGATAGGCACAGCTTGTCTGATGTGATATGGCAATAATCCATACTGAATAAATGCAGAGACTGAATTATGATTACAACTGCAGCAAAACTTAAAATTTAAGAAATTGTCAAAATGAAAAGGGACAGATTTACATGTGCTATTGGCTAATATATTTGACTTATCTAGCATGATTTGGTACTTAAAATGAAAATAGTATTTCACAACTACCAATCTTACTAGATTTCTCCATAAGAGAAAGCTTGATATAACTATTATATACTCAGAAGATTCTGCAAGTACTTGAGGCAACGTTTTTCTGGGTTTCCATTCCAGAATAAACATGGTTCTGTTTCAGAGGCTCTATCAATAAAAGAACTTAAAGCAAACAGTTACATGAAAACATGTATCAGAACTTTGTTCAGTTTCCCTGGTTTTTATCATGCTTTTTATGTAAGTTCACGACAAAATGAGTTACCTTCTGATTTAGCAGAGCACTTGCTAGTCTTTGTACTTCAGAACTCAGCAATGATGTACCTCTGATGACTTTACTTAAAGAAGCAAGTGACTGATGGACACTTTGCACAAGGCGAATGGCATTGAATTGTTCCAGAGTAATGAATGATAAGATTGGAGTTCCTTGTTGCTCCACAGGAGGAGACACCTTCTGATGAATTAGGTTAGAATTCTAAAAAAGAACACATGATGTTCAGTTAATAAACTCAGGGAAATTATTATGTTATACAGCATACTATTTGTTTAATTCATAGTACTTCATATGATTTTGTTAGCTTTGAAGTAATTCAGATATACCCCCTTTTCTGACAATGGATTAAAATTATAATGATACTTTCAGTATTGTCCATGAGATGTTCAATAAAGACAACGCTCTTCTAAGACAACTCTGTCTACCCAATTACTTCAAAAGCACTGAAATTTCTGAAAAATCTTCAATTAGCTGAATCACTGCTTTTAGCATTTCAGTTAATGTGTCAATATAAAAAGTAGTAGTGTACTCAGATTGTATTGGGTACTATAAACCATGCTGTCAGATATAAATCTTGCTTTGATAAGACTAGCTGAACCTGGAAGCAAATTCAACATAAATAAATAACTGCAAAATAAATTATATTATGTGTAAATCCCGAGTAACTCGGACACTGAGAGGTACTGCTTCACTCACATTGACATTCTTTTTACTTAGTTTCAGTCCATTACAACTACTGAAAATCCAAATTTATTCTATAATTTCAAAAGATGGTATCATTTTGCAAATCTCAATTCATATGCAGCTTATTACATAAATATATTTTACCATGTGTTCTGAAACTGCCAACTTGACATGTGACAAGATGCTGCACTGAATTCCAGTTATGGAATTTAAACCTTTATTTGAAAATTCTACAAGGCACAAATGCAAAAAGAGAACCATAGCATTACGGAAAAATACATTTTGCCATTTCAATTTCTAGTAATATATTAAAGGTAAAATCAGATTTCACTTTCTCTGAAGAATCAATTCGTAAAATAACAAGTCATTTTGACTTTTTTCAGATTAAATAAATTTCTGAATTGTCACAGGGCATCTTGCTTTCCAGAACATACAGTATGTGTGCCCCTGTAATCATTCCCATTTGTCAGAACTTTCACATGCTTTTCATTTCAAGTTCATACTGCACTCAACTACCAAGCAAAAAATGAGAAAAGGTAAGTGAAAGAGTAATACAGATACTTTAGTTTATGACTGCCAGAAAAATGAAGGACAATGTCTTCCCTCCCACATTATTGAAGAGGTATACAACAAAGTTACTGTTCAAAGTGCAAGAAGCACACAGTATTTAAAAATGCTATGTATTTTATTTTCTCTTTGCATGCATCCTGAAATCACAATACCAGTTTCACTTCAATTTTTCTGAGACCATATTTTGTTAAGTATATATAAAATGTAATGAAAAACTAGGACAAGCTAGCTGATAATTTCTTATTGGAGTATTTAATTGCACAAAGACAACGTAACTTGCAGGCTTTGCTGAGTCTTTCACATATACTGTCTTAATTCATGAAAAACTTACTGAAGGAGTAGGATTCTAAGTTCCTCAGTACTGTCCTTTACATAACAGTCTCATAGGAATTGCATATTCATTTCATCACTCTTTTTAATATTTCCTCCTGAGAATTTGTTAAAACAACCCATCTGTCATTTTTAAAGGAAAATTAAACTTGAATACCGGTATCAGCTTATACATTTAATGTTCTATTACTTTCTCTTAAAATCCATTATGTATATAACTCACATCAGCTTTAAAAATATCCACATGACCTGCTTGGGAATTAAGATGAAGAACTGCTGAAGTACTGACTGCTTTTTCTACTCGTAAGAAACTGAAGATAGGTTCTAATCTTTAATGTTAAACACTATATTATGCTACCAATACTAAATTAGATGTATTTTAAGACTTTGATCATTTTTGCTCCTTCACTCCTGTACTTGTTACTGTCGCAGTACAATACAATACTTCATGCAGTCTCACCTAAGCTGTTATAGAGCTTTTTTTTGCGTTACCTTCCTAAACTCAAGCTTTTTCAAACTCCAGTATGTTCTGAAAATTGTCCTCTCAGAAATGTAACAAATATAATAGTCTAATTAGTAAGATATACTGGAAGGTGTCATACTGAAATTTACTGCTTTTTCTTATGTGATCACAGACCTGGTTAACAGCAGTCCATGTTCAGAGGCCACAGATTTCAACAGGAAGTCATTAAGCACCAAAAGCTTTTCTTGACAAAAACATTATGTATTATACACTTAGCATGAATTAAATGAGAAATTAATGAGAGCTTTCAAAATGTAATGGCAAGTTCTACTGTGCACCTCATGCCACTTCTTTATATGTGGTTATTTGAGTAAAGGAAAGATTTTTCTCATTCCAGTGTTGCTATGTACAAAACATGTTAGGCCACGATGTCTGCAATCTATTACTTATTTTTGAGGAGAAAAATAATGGTCAAATGTCATGGTGGGCACCTAGGATGAGGTAAGAGAGATCCTTCTCAAGAATACATAGTATCTGCATTTTGAAGAGAATTCACATACATTACAGCTAAACAGACACCAACAATAAGAATTCAATGGTTAGAAATCAAGCTTTAAAGTGTATGTTAAAAAAGCCCACAAAATCAAACAAATCCAGAATAACAATGAAACAAAAAGAAATTAGATATTGCAGGCATTGTAGCAAGGATTTTAATGAATCTCAATTAAAGCTGGTACCATGTTTCAATATTACATGGGAAAAAGTTATTTTAATATTTAAAATAATTTAACATTGCCTTGTGAATATTAAAGAAATTAAGAGACTAAATTCAGATATATGATATATTAGTATCCTTCTTGGAAACATATACAATATGTTAGTCTCATGTCTTGTGAGTGTCATCTCACCTCTATATGGAGAAAAAAGTGAGTCTGCTATCCCACATACTGACTTCATAGCTACATACAAGTAACATTGTACATCCCACTTCAAATGCCTTTAATTTACTTTTTCACTTGTTATGTTTCAATATTCAAGATAATTCCTTAGACCTTAATTGTAATGTAGTTACCAGGAAAAAAAAGTGTCTTTTCAAATGATCTACTTTCCTACCTGATTGAGTTTCTTCCATAGGTTGAGAACAGGAGAAAGTTCAGTAGACCATATTTCTCTGTCAAATTTGCAGCCAGCAGCTACTGACCTGCTCAGGATCCGAAGCTGTGAAATGACCTGAATGATAAGAATACAAATGCAAATCTTGAAGAAGGATAAACAAACTTCTTTCAGTACAAAAACATAATACAATAGCAACGACTCTTCAATTTATCTATGAACTATACTTTTTTTCACATACTTAATTACTAGTCATGATCTACTCAAAGCACAAACAATACCCATATCCAAATATAGAACATACTTCAGCCTCATGCATATTAAGCTCAAAACAAACAAATATGTATTTTTCTTATCACATTTATTGTTTTTTCGACTATAATTAAAAAACTAATCAGGTGTATAATTAATTTAAAAAACCTATTTCCACAAAGTCTAGAGACAAAACTCAAGCTCTGCCTTTAACTACCGATCTGTAATTAAAAGAAAAACAAAACAAAGCACAAACAAACAAACAAACAAAAAACCAACCAGAATATGTTACTAAATACATGCAGTACCTACCAGGCATCAAAACTCCAAGACAATTATAATAAATTCATTCTGATCTCCCATATTTTCATATTACCTCAGATAATTTAAATGCATATTTATTAGTTTAAAGAAAGCAAGCAAGCAATTAAAAGAATAACTGCAAATTTTTCAGAAAGAAGGGGAGCTTCCAGTTAATTAGGTCCAACTGTCTCTTGGTGTTAGCAACACAGGTAACTCCACACAAACTGATCAAATATATGTATACATTTTAAAGACAGAATAATGAAATTAAAATTCTTCAGTGATATTGCAGCCTGTCACAGAATCACAGAACGTTAGGGATTGGAAGGGACCTCAAAAGATCATCTAGTCCAATCCCCCCGCTGAATCAGGAACACCTAGATGAAGTTACACAGGAAGGCGTCCAGGCGGGTTTTGAATGTCTCCAGAGAAGGAGACTCCACAACCTCTCTGGGCAGCCTGGTCCAGTGCTCTGTCACCCTCACTGAGAAGAAGTTTCTTCTCAAATTTAAGTGGAACCTCCTGTGTTCCAGCTTGTGTCCATTACCCCTTGTCCTATCATTGTTTGTCACCGAGAAGAGCCTGGCTTCATCCTCGTGACACTCACCCTTTAAATATTTATAAACATGAACGAGGTCTCCCCTCAGTCTCCTCTTTTGCAAACTAAAGAGACCCAGCTTCCTCAGCCGCTCCTCATAAGGGAGATGCTCCACTCCCTTAATCATCTTTGTAGTCCTACGCTGGACTCTCTCCAGCAGTTCCCTGTCCCTTAATGGCAAGTAGTAAAATCACAACCCTGGATCGCAGGAAAGCAGATTTTAGCTTAGTTAGGGATCTCCTTGGCAGGATCCAATAGGCAACTGCCCTGGAGGAAAAGGGGACCAGGAGAGCTGGTTAATCTTCAGGAACAAATTCCTCAAAGTACACAAACAGCCCTCTCTGGTGTGCAGGCAGCAAGCATGATAAGCAAGCCAAAGAACAAGCATGGCGTAAGATCAATATGGATGAAGATGAAGCTAGTGATCTCCAATGTAAAAAGGTAAACCACAGAGGAGGGGTGAATGACCCAGCAGGGATATAAAGTCATTGCTCAATTTGTTAGGATGGGATGAGGAAAGCCAAATCTCAGCTCTGTTTGAAACTAGCAATGGATGTGAAGGCCTGCAAGAAGAGCCGCTCCAAGTAATCTGGTAGCTAAAGGGAGGAACAGAAAGTAGGAGCCAATGCTCAGTATAGCTTCTGTTATGGAAGATATAATTTCATTCTCTGATTCTCATAACTTAATTTTAAACTTTAACAGTTCTTTGTGTGCTCCAGCTACTGTGTATAGCAGAAAAGATTGTTGTTTAATTTAGCAAAAAATAATTTTCTCTGTTTAAAGTTTTGATCATAGTATCCTTATCATTCCTGTTATTCTTCCTCCTTTGCACTCTACACATATGCAAATGTTCTGACAGGCAACACAGATAATAAACACACATTTGTGCCTTCCAGATACCATTCTTTTAGCTACAGTTCTGGCTCTTATAATTTGTTTTTGGATAGTTGCCTGCCATCATTTGCAAGGAAATAAAACAGTTATATCAAATGTACTTTAACTGGTAATTCAGTATGCAGTGCTTCATAAAAACTTGCATATTTATAGTACAAAGCTGCAAAAAGTTTCTATGACTGTTTTGTGAATATGAGGGATTTAAAATATTAAGTATTGTACTCTTTTTTAAGTGTGTTCATAGGTATAAACACTTAGGTCCATAAAGCTGAAATGAATTTGAGATGCAATAACTACAAGATTAAGCAAATGAAGTATTTTCTAACTCTAGTATATAGGGTTAGCTGCCTATTTCTAATTGTCTAATTATAGATTTTGTCAATAAAAGGTAAGTAGGAAATACACTATTTATCCATTGTATCAATCTTTGATCTTCAGTCTATAGGTTCAAGAGCACCTATAGGTGTTTCTACTTTGTATATTTTATCAAAGTAGCTCAAAAATATTGAGATATGGTTATCAAAAGTTAAGCACTTAAATTAAAAGTACCGAATGAAAAGAAATCAAGTTTTAACTCTCAATGTTCTATAGTACTGTGACATGCTATGACTTTTATAAAATGTTCATGGAAATTGTTTAACTCTTTCCAGTTCATCCCATTTCTTCTCTCAAATATAACAGGTATGATGGTAGCATAAATTTCTACTAAAGTTTCAAAGACATTGTTTTCAAGTGACTGTAATTTTAAAAAATTAATGGGTTGGGCTGAAACTCTGTGGCTCTTTCAGCCTGAATACTTTTTGAAAATGCTACCCTAGAATAGTCATTCACCTTCAAGAAACAGAGGAAAATACATTTCAGTAATGTCAAAATGTGGTTGACTTCATCTTTGAAGTGCTTCATTTTGCTAAGGGACTGCAAATTTGATGGACACTTTTTTTGTGTGCCCTTTTTTACATCCATGAAATCTGTCCAAATTTAGGAAAGACTTAGAGACTGGAAAATAGTAACTCATATTATTGCTTAATTATGATGACAAGTTTGATTTTAGAAGTTAAATGGCATAGATATTTTATTCTCACAAATCACTGAAGTTTTACAAGTGCTGACCAGTCTACACTACCTCAAATCAGATAAAACCTGAGAAAAGTTTGACTCAGTACTTGTAAATCAGTCTCTTTCTGAATGTTATGCAACTGAAAAGGGAAACTGATTATTTTATAGGATCACAGAATAATTCAGGTTGGAAAGGACCAAAGGAGGTCTGTAGTCTAACCTCCTGCTTGGAAGCATGGTGATCTCTGAGATCAGACCAGGTTGCTCAGGGCTTTATCCAGCCTGGTCTTGAAAAGTCTAAAGTACAGAGACTGCACAACCTCTCTGGATGATCTGTTCTACTGCTTCACTGTCCTAATAAAGAAAAAGTTTCCCCTAGTATCTGATCTGGACCTTTCTTGTTTCAGTTTATAGTTTATGACCTGTAAAAACAAGACAGAGAAATGTACAGACTGGAACAAAGAATGTGTCGAGATTGAAAATGACCTGAATAAAACCCTGTTAGAATTACCAGGTGTCTCACAGAAGTCTGCCAGGTTATGTGATATGCTTGCAGTCACTCCAGAGAACTGTTTTCACCTCCAGGCAAGAGAAACAAGTTTGGAGTTGGAAGGGAAACTGGATTTAAGAGAAAGAGGCGTTTCAAGAATATATTCCTGGGGGCCATATGAAAGACAAAAATGGCTCTGTAAGGCAGCAGCACAGGAATGAGCACACAGACTGGATGAGTACATAGGAGACCTTGGTTCAGCTGACAAAGGGTTGAGAGGGCACTGTACATAATCACGTTAATCAAGCTTAAAACAGATAAACACAAATTCATCCCACCTACCCCTAGGCACTTACTTAAAGCTTACTTGAAACCAGCTTAAACTACAAAGTTTACCACTTTAGCCTTCCTACATAATCAACAGATAGATCTTAAGTGGGCTAATTTGTAATTTGTCATTTGGAAGGCCCTCCTATTGAGTACCTAGGAAAATTAAGTTCCTTATATAGGTAGCTCAGATAGATGGGTCTACGTTGTGGAAATGAGAATGAGGATTTTAATTTCCTGGAAACCTAACTTCGAAACTCAAGAAGAATTCAGCTTCTCTCACTGCACTATATATATGTTACCATCAGGTCAATTTATAATCCACTTCAGTTACTTACTCTAGGATGAGATTAATTGTGCCTTAAACACGATACTTCTATGACCATAAAGAGAGACTAGAAGTGACTAGCACAGATGCAGACATCTAGGTCTGTTGAATCATATAGTTTCCGCTCTAGTTTGGAAAGGTATCCAAGTATGTACTTATAGTACTAAGGAAATGAATATCTAATCATAATTGTATAATACAGGGTACTCAAAATAAGAGTACTTTCACAATACCTTACATTTGAATGCTCATCTTTGTTATTTTAACATATTCTTTTAATATATTAGACACTGAAATCTCTTATGTGTTGTGCTAGTCCAGTCCAAATAACACACTTAAATATTTTTAATAATGACGAGTGAAAAAGTCTACGATAAAGCAGAAAAACAGTTCCATTGCCTAAAACAGAGAGGGATGGAAAAAAAGCTGATCAAAATATAAAATTAATCATCAATAATGGTCTGTTTAAAGAGGGGTGAGATGATTATTCAGAACCATGAGTCTTTCCAAAAGCTGACTGTTCTAAGGTCAACTAATTGTAAGAGTATTTATACAAAAAACTCTATAGAGTAATTTATTTGCGAACAGTGCAGCTAACAACTATGAACAACATACAGGAACTGCTACTGAGTATTCTTAGTGGAAAATTCATACACTGTATTTGTTTTTACATTGTCAGCACTGAAAAGTATTTAAAAACACATAAATTGCATATATTAAGGTGAGGAAGTCAAACTTAAAATGTCAATATTTATTTACCTAGTTATTAAATTAATTACACCTCCTGGCTTTTTAATCTATTCCTTACATCATGGGTTTCTATGGATATATGCTTCTATGAAATTAACCAACAAATTATAGTAAAAACC